CCGCGCCTCATCCGCCGTCTAAAAATTTTTTTGACAGAGGAAAATTTTTATTTGCGGAAGACGGAACCATCGACAGCCATGCCAGTGAGCAGTTGTTCTAAGCAGTACGTTATCATTCGAGCTATTTCCAAGTACCTTCACTTCTAATAGGGAGAAAATTATGAAGGGGCTTTGATTTTTTGTCTTATCTTTTATCCTTTCCTCAGAACGCATCTCCTCGGCGTAGTAATAGCAATTTAGATAGCAATCAGTCTGTGGTACCAACTAAAGAAAACTTGTGAGAAATCATATTTCAAGTGTTTTTTTTTACTTTTGAGTCAGAATTACTTGATTTTCTGACGATCATTACGTATTATTTCTAATTGGGGAAAAAGTCTATGAAATGCAGCTGACCAAAGTGTCGAGACAATTTTTTTGGTTGGCAACATTTTTCTGGTTACAAGAAAATATTATCTGGTGCTAAAATATTACCTAGTTCCAAGGAAACTTTAAGTACTCAAATAAATGAGGGGTATCAAATTATGATTTAGAAAAAAGTTGAAAAAATCATGAATTTCTTAGCTTGAAAAACATAAGACTTGTTTTTGGTAATACCATTCACACAAGTTAGTTATCGAAAAAGCCATATTAAGCAATCAAACATCACGAAACATAAAAAGATTGGCGAGACGAAAATACACGTGTAGAACATTGATTTCCCGGACTTGTTATCTGGGATTTCTATCTCAGTGCTGACTAATCATATTTGCCTTTTTTCCGGCAGTAATCCATGTTTGGCTTAAAAAAATTATGATTTTTATTCAGAAATTTTTTATATAAAAAAAGCGATGTAGACCGTCAAAATTTGGAATTTTTTAACACCAGGAACATAGAAATGCAACAGTAAACTTCCATAATCAGGTGCAATTTATAGTTAAAAAAATTATATAAAAAATTTCGCGACTTACAGAAAAAGTAATTTAAAATAAATGCAAAGTTGAAAGCAAATTTAAGCCAAACATGGATTAAATTGCTTCCACTTTTTTTCTCTGACATTTTTCATCATGTGCTTTTCTAACAGTGCAATTAACTAAAAAAAAAGTTGGAATTTTTTAACGTCAAAAAGACGGAAAAGCAACTGTAAACTTCCAAAAAGTTGTTTAAATCAGGTGCAGGTTATAATTGTTATTTGCATTGTTATAAAACCAACTGATGAAAGTGACAGAGAAAAAAAATGAAAGCAATTTTTTCAAAAAACTGGGATCTTAACATTTCCGATAAAGGGTTTGTCGTGGAGAAATGGGAGGTGTGCTTGGACAGTGAGGATGAATTGTTGCAGAAATGGAGAAACAATGTTCCCCCTGGATGATTTTGATTGCCATCTAAACGGGAGCATTTTGCATGAATCAGTTGTCTGGACAAATGTTAATCGACTTCATAGCTGGCGCCCTATTTCTCCACGTCCACTAGCATCTCTTTTTTACGGCCTTTTTTCTGGATCCTTTTTTATAGAAATGTTGCAACTGCAGGACATAGAGCATTGAGAGTTTTTTCTTTTTTTTTTTTGTTTTTGATTTTTTTGGATTTTTTTCGCAAGTTTTATAGGTTCATTTCTTACGGGTTTTTTAAAAATTTTTGTGGGTTTTTCCACCATTTTTTTTTTTTTGGATTTTTTTGAACAACGGACAATGCTCAGTGGAAATGTGCAGCTCACTACTGAGGGGACTTAGCAGAGATACCCGGTTGCCGAGGAATTTCGAGGCCAAAGAAGTCGAATTTTCAGACCGACTGTGCAAGTGATCTAGGTAATCTATGCAACGAATTATGCTATAAAAATTTATGACAAAACTGAGGAATTGATTTGATAAAAATCGATGAAAATTATGGCGAAATTTAGGGATTGATTGAAAATCGTGGGCAGTAGAAGCGTTTTTTAATAAAACTGGGTATTGGTTATCTAAGCTAGAAATATGCTGGATTTAGTCACGACAAATGCTCAAATCCCGGGTATCATTTTCCTCGCCCGGCCTCTCGATGTAGGTATAACATATTAGTGATGTTACTGGAATGCTTCTGCAAGCTGAATGCAGCTATGCCAGACCCTTTGATTTTGGACTGCATATCTCCAGTTAGTGCTCACTGTTCGATGTGTGTGTACAACTTTTTATGAGTCATCCGTGTTGTTTTTGCGAATACCGCTTGGCTTTCTCGTAGATGCCACTCATAAATGCACGACGTCCACCGGTTGTCAACAAGACGAGTAATATGTCTTGCCCATCGGATTTTACTTTCTCGCGTGGTCCTAATGAGATCTTGCGCTCCCATACCTGACTCAGACACCTCTTCCTCGCATGGGAGTCGGATTGGACCGTAATTGAGGTACAGCGGGTCGCAACACTGGCAACTTCAAATACGTTGAAGACACTACTGTCTGGCTAAGCTTAAGTGGTACAGACCGATGTTAGTCTGCCAACAGTTGGTATTGCAGTAAAGGTCAAGCAACTATCCAAGCAAAAATGCAAATTTGCTCTAAACAGAATTTATAAACAAAAAATAAGGGTTGAAATTAACATTTAAAGTTAACTAATGGATAAAGCTTAAAAACAAAAAATTGAGGTTAAGTAGGCATAAGGAAGCTTCATACCTTCTCTTAAAATTTCCATTATCGAACATATTGGCACTGTCCGGAGAGAGGGTCCAGAAATTGCCTTTACGATCATTTGCTGGACCAATACCATCACGAGCTTTTTTTATAAAGCAATCATTGAGGGACAAATTATGTCTGATACTATTCTGCCATCCTTGACGTCGTTTCGGATCACAGTTACGGTAGTACGGGAAACGAGCATCAATGTACTGTAAAAAAAGAGAGAGAGAGGTGCAGAAATAAATCATGGAAGAAGCATTTTCTGCTCTTCTGAATTGAATCATCCGGACTTTTGGAGCCTTCTTTCACCCGTATGAGAATCAATTTTTTTTCCTAATGATGAGAAAAATGATGCACTTATTGTTTGAAAAAATCCATTGTACAGATAAATTCGAATGAGCTGACAGTAAATGGATGGAAGATTTTTATCGTTTTCCCTCATTTCCCTCTTCCACCTCATGTACAATCAGGCCCATTACATTTCGAGAAGGCAGTTCTCATAGGTAGTGAAAATAGACTGCTTTAAGAATGCTGACTAAAAAGTACAGTTAATTTTTCCATCTTTCATTGGCGCTGGTCAATGTAGTAAATTTCAGAAGCGTTTTAGTAATTTTTAATTTCTTCCAAATTTTTGGCCTCTTTTTGAAATATCTTAATATTTTAACGAACACAAGCGGATACAACAGATATCAGTGAAGGTACGACGTATTCCAGATCTAATGGAGTCACCAAAGTCTACATATAGCTTTTTTGTAAGTCGTGGGAAAGTAATCATCCTCTTTCGATTAACACTAACCAATATGTGATGTCTATTGGTTACCATCAAACGGAACTTGCATTTTATGAAATTTTTATTAGAATTGCTTTGTGAGTCCCTAAAAACTGATACTTTCCCAGATTCGTCGCTGGGCAAAAAAAATTTTTTTATATATTAGGTCTATTTACATTCGGAATTGAAATAAAATTAATGCATGAAAAATCAGGATTAGGCGGGCGACCAGATGGTACTTCAGTTTAGAAGCTGATGAAGATTTTTACTGACCACCAGCGAACTGTCACTGTACAGCTTCTGATGTTATTACCGAATGCAGAATCACGCGAATCCTCACCTTGCGGCTTTAGATATTATAAAAACGTGTCCATCTGGGCTGTTTTAATCCATCTTCCCCTGGACTATGTATTAGATTCGTTATGTTTTTGTACGATCTTTTCCAGGGTTACTGAGATGGTTGTTTTTACGTCGTAAGCGACTACCGGTTGCTCAGCGATTATCATCGAAATACTTATAAAAGCAATGAAAAAAAATGATA